TAATAATAATAATAATAATAATAATAATAATAATAATAATAATAATACCAACAACAACAACACATTATGTTTTTCTTGGGATCATGTCAGCTGCAAAGAGTTTCTGTTCAAGCTTAAGGAATATTTTAACGGGTTCCTGACAAGTGTCACACACAGAGGTTTCTTCGGGGGAAAAAATAGCAAAATCTGCAAAAATGGCAGTGCTGTGTCATGAAAGTAGCCACACCCTTTTTTGCCTGCAGGTACAAAAGGGGTGGGGCTTTGTGCCGTTGCACCTGCCATACACCTAAACTTCTGTATTCTGCAAATCACATTCACCTGTAGCTGCATTTTGGGCGCTCAGCAATCCAGTCACATTAATGGCCTTTTGCAGCAGCATCCCACAATCGTGTGACCGTGATTAATAAACTGCTTGGCAAAAAAAGAGAGACACTTCCAGTTTCTAGGAAAAACACCACATGGTGAATAACACGGCTTAAAGACTCTGGCATTAGCTTTACGGGTGTGGCATTCATTTAATGATCACTGCAGAAAAGGTTGTACAATTGGGTCAGTCATATGATGACCTGCTTTAAGACTGTCACAACTTACGACCGTGATTCCCAGGCTCAGTTATGGTCATAAGTCAAAGACTACCTGTAATAAAGTTTTTAGACCCATTTCCCTCCTCCCTTTTTCTGTCTGCATTCTTTATGAATGTTTCCCGTGCCATTCTGGATTTTATTGCATCAGAATGAGAATGAGGAATAGATCTGAGTGTTTTGTTTTGTTTTTAAAACTTATCCAGACCTTTTAAAGAGGCAATGGAGATGTAAAAGCTGGGAAAATGAAAATATTTAGAGCGTTCCCATCACATGTGACTTGGCCAGCTATCTTAATCTGCAAAGCTCCCCTTCTGCCCACAGTAGCAAAAATAAATATTAGCATGCCTCTGACCTGATACAGCCTGGCTTTATGCCATTTGCAGCTACCAGGAACTTACGACATTTTATGTCTCAGAATAGTACCTGCAATGGCGAAAGAGGGGGAAGGGGTATTGCCCAGAGGTGGGTATTCAGCAGGTTCTGACCAGTTCTGGAGAACCAGTAGCGGAAATTTTGAGTAGTTTAGAGATCCTGCAAATACCACCTCTGGCCCCGCCCCCATCTATTCTCTGCCTCCCGAGTCCCAACTGGGACTGGCTGGGTCTTCGTTTGTTGCCATGCACAGGAGAACAGAGCTGGAAAGCAGGTTAGAGGGATGGGGAGGGAGTGGAGATTTTGCAGTATCCTTCTCCTGCCACGCCTACCAAGCCACGCCCACCAAGCCACACCCACAGAAATGGTAGTAAAAAAAAATTTGAATCCCACCACCAGTATTGCAGACTTGTTCTGCAGCAAAGTTCTCTAGAAAATCTGATCAGATCTGATCTCAGGTTCTTGGAGCTCACGTGATATTTAATGGGAAAGCTGAAGAATCTTCTTGGATGAGAAGCGAAATGTCATAAAAAAAAATAAAATAAAATACCAGAAAGTCCAGTTGCCTCTTGGAAAAAAAAATAGTTCCTTTGGGTTAACGGGAAAGCCAACGGAAGCATTCTGACTGGCATGGTTTGGCTGAGCCTTGGAAATGTGTCCTTTGCTGTCCGTTCTACCCCCAAGCAGTTGGCCAAAGGAAGCATTTGGAACAGGCACCTGGAACCCACTTCTTGCCAGCTCAACGTTACGTATTTACCTGGAGGCCAGCACCACGGAGGTCAGTAGGGTAGAGTTTCCAAATTTGGCAAATTTAAGATACGAGTTTAGTTTTCGTTTTCAGCTGCCCAAGTGGTCGGTACAGAAAAGGCCAAGATCTCTCTATTCTCCCACAGGCCAGGTTACAAAATAATGAATTTAAATTACAAGAAGGATGTTTCTGATTAAAGGTAAAGAGAAACCTCCTACATTAAGAGCAATTGAATTAATGGCTGAAAGAGGTGGTGGGTTCCATTTTGCTAGAGATGCTCGAGCAGAGGCGAGAGAGAGAGAGAGGAGGGGAAGAGAGAGAGAGAGAGAGAGAGATCTTAAGAATAATAAATTTGAATCTCTGCACCGGACAAAGGGTTCAATTTAATGGCTTAAATCATTATCTTCATTTAACGACCCCATAATTCCTTGCAGGGTAGAGTCTGGGTAACTGAATGTAACTAGCAGAGTGTTTTAATGGCCGGATGCCCTTCCTGTCACCAGTGCGGAGTTTTATTCAGCAGATATAGTCTCATAGTGCCCAGATAGAGAAACATTTTTTATTTTATTTATTTATTTTGATTTGTCAATCGCTTACAAGATAATAGGTTTAAGTATATACATAGTTATGAATACATGAAATGGGTACATATAAGAAAAATAAAAGAAACAATAGGACAGGGACGGTAGGCACGTTGGTGCGCTTATGCACGCCCCCTACAGACCTCTTAGGAAAGGGGTGAGGTCAATAGTAGACAGTCTAAGGTTAAAGTTTTTGGGGTTTGGGGAAGAAACCACAGATTCTGAAACCAAATTGTTTATGGAGAGTAGGTTGTTTGTCTCTAAGTGGAGGATAATGGATTGGTTAAAATAATTGATTCCATGACTTTACAGGTGACGCAGCATAAGGAGATTGGTCTGTAATTTTCAGCTAGGCTGGGCTCTCCCTTTTTGAAGATGAGGATGACCATGGCTTGTGACCATAGATTAGGCAAGGAGCAGGTCAGCCTCTACCTAGGATCGAACTCACAGCCTCCTGATTGTGAGGCAAGAGCTCCCCCTCTAAGCCACCGCACCACTCCAATTTAATTGAAAATGACTTTCTAAAATACCTTTGCTAACTTTAACTTGCTTCAAAAGAAGACGGGCAGCAAATAAATGTAAGAAACAAAGCACCAACCTGAATTCCCTAGCTAGCATTGCTGGGTGTGGAATCCTGTGAGTCCACACATCTTAAAGTTTCTGAGATTGGGAAAACCTGCGATAGGATCAGTGGTGGGATTCATTTTTTTTTTACTACCGGTTCTGTGGGCGTGGCAAGGGAAGGATACTGTAAAATCTCCAGTCAGAGGTGGTATTTGCCGGTTCTCTGAACTACTCAAAATTTTCACTAACTGGTTCTCCAGAATACCTGAATACAATACCTGCTGAATACCACCTCTGGATAGGATTTCACAGAAAAGGTCACCATTCTAGTTTCCCTTTCTGTTTTCTTTGGTCCTGTTGGGCTGCCCTCTTGTGTCCAAACTAGTCATCAGCCCCAAATGGCGGCAGCTGGTACTGTGCGCCCCACAGGCCCAAATTTTAAGGACCCCTTAGTAGGGAGTTGGGTTGCATTGCAGAGATGGGCTTGGCTGTAGCAGCAGCGAAAGGAGCAGCAGAAAGGAGGTCCACAAAGGAGAGATGGAAGAGGCAGAATGAGGCATGTCTTTCCCCTTCCCAAATTTGAGCCAAAGTGAAAACAAAAGCAGGTTTCTGATTTTGACATAGAGCTTGAACAGAATAAATCTCCTTCCAGTTAGATGTCATTAACAAGGGTGGGAGGAAGCCCCAAAAGATGTAATGAAGGAGAGGCTCTCTTAAGATTTTCCTGGATTTACTTTTGTGTATGACAACTGCAGTGAGATGATTATATGCTCAAAGGGGGAAAGACTGAACTTTACCCACAATAGACAAATGGATGGTGAAAAGAACAGAAAAAAAATGAAAGTATGATATATGTTTTTGATGTTTAGGGGAAAAATAGATTTTAGAAAAAATGTAAGAATGTAAGAATAAGGGAAGAGGTTAATTTACACTTATAACTTGTACAAGACAATCGGAACTCATTTCTTTACCATTTTTTTCTGCACTTTTAGCTTGTTATTTGTTTTTCTTCTCTCTTTATTCTTACTTCTTGTTAGTTTTTATTCTTTTTCTTGAAATGTAGACAGACAGACAGCTAGATATAGATAAATATTGTGTAGATAGACAGACAGACAGAGATAGATACTGTGTTGATAGACAGACAGACAGACAGACAGACAGACAGATAGATGTAGATAGATAGATACTGTGTTGACAGACAGACACTATATATAGACAGATAGAAAGACAGGCAGATAGATAGATACTGTGTTGATAGACAGACAGACAGAGATAGACAGACAGACGGTCAGACAGACATAGATAATCAAAGTTTTCCTGGAGTGGAATTAAACAGGCTTCCACCTGAAAACAGCCCAGTCTGTTCAAATCATCCCATGATGACTTCTTGGTTTCCTTCTTCAGTGATCCATGGCAAGAACCTGGTGTCCATCCTCCACCTGCTGGTGGCTATGGCCATGCATTTCCGGGCTACTATTCGGCTCCCTGAACATGTTTCTGTGCAAGTAGTCGTTGTAAAGGTAGGTTTACCCAAGAAAGAGTTTTAAGCTTTCCATGCATGTGTTAATTAAGCTATGTAGTACTATACAAAATATAAAAATAAACCTTCGCTTCAAATAGATTTGTTTAAAAAATATTTTTTTAAATCTAGACAGATGCCAGTAGTTTTGGGACAGTGGTGAATATATATGTAGCTCGGGTGTAATAGGAGGATAGAGGTTCGTTCTCCAAGCTTGTGGGTTGGTTTCCGAATTTTGTGACCAGCCTAGCTAACATCTTCAGTGGAATTTAGGTGATGTCATTGTCAATGTTTTTCTGCTTATAAGGGCTTCGTGTGGTCAGTAGGTCAGGTGAGGGTCAGGTGAGGGTTTTGGGACCCTGTTCCTCTAAGTCAGGGATGTCAAACTCGGGTTTCATTGAGGGCCACTTCAGGTTTATGTTTGATGTCGGGGTCTAGGTGGGCAGGGCCATGGTGGGTGTGGCCAGCTCGACATCACTCGCGTTGGGGGTGCCTGTGGAGGCCTGAGCGCTCTGTCAGCGAAAACGGAGCCTCAAGCTCCGTTCTCGCTGGCAGAGGATTGTAGGAGGCCATCGCAGCCAAAAATGGCGGCCCTCCCAAGCTCCGTTTTCACTGACAAGAGGGTTGCAGCAGGCCATCGCAGCTGAAAACGGTGCCCATCCTGAGCTCCATTTTCGCTGGCAGAGGCATAGCAGGCCGGTCCTTTGCTGTTTCCAGGGCAACCCTGCGGGCCTGATCTAAGCACCCCATAGGCCGGATCTGGTCCACGGGCCTTTAATTTGACACCCCTGCTCTAAGTAGTGAGTCACCGATCACCAACACATTCCTTGTTCTCTTTGGGCCAATCATTTCCACCATTGCAGCTTCACTCTTCACTTTTCTACCACATTTTGTGGACATCCTATCTGTCCGCCTGCTCACCTGTCTGTTTGTCTGCTCATCCCTCTCTCCATCCATCCATCCATCCATCCATCCATCCATCCATCCATCATGCGATGCTAGTTTTGTGTTGGTGAGGTTTGTTCTTTGGACCCTTTTCTCTGCTACATCAGCAGTGCTGCTACAATAAATGGGCTGGGTCAACCTGCAGTTTGTAATGCTTGTACACCAGTGGGGCAGATTAATACCTCTTTCTGCTTTGAAAGTTTGCTTCTTATTTAAAGTTTGTCCAGATGTGGGTGAGGTTTTTTTCTTTTTTTTCTTTTTGCTGAAGGCAGAAAAGTGTATCAGATTGTCTCCTGCCTTCAGAGAGTTTTAACGCTTCTATTAATTCTATTGGTTTGAGATAAAGGAGAACTGACTCTTTTCTAATTCTGCTCCTCTAGTTAGCAAAAATAACACAATCACTTCTTGTAAGATGTCAGTCCTATGCACTTCTTCGGTTACTTCTTTCAGCATTTCACTAGTTCTGACTCTGATTTTCTTCCAGAAGCGAGAAGGGTTACTCCAGACGGCCCATGTGACCGAGGAGATCACTACTACAACTGAGTAAGCACTGTGTTTTTACTGCTGTGTGCACAAAGTTGAGCTCTCCATGTTACTTCAGTTTGGTTGGCACATAGAATTATTCTCTGAATGATATTTAAGCTATACTCTATAAATTATACTCTAATTGGTATTGTGGGGGGAAATGTTTCTTTTTTGAAATGTTTGAACTGAGATGGAATTTTTGAAAGGATGAAATAAGAATATGCGATGAAATTGCAAACCTGACAGAAAAAAAAATAGTAAGTACATGGAATCTGAAGATATGAGAGTTATTTAAAGTCTAAGGAAATAGGTTAAGAAATGAATTGAAAATTGATAAAATAAGCTGGAGAAAAGTATTTGAGAAAAACGATAGAAAATATGTAAGATAATGATAAGATATGAAATTACATGTGAAATATGGGTATGTAATTAAAGTCATGTTTGTATATAAATGGGAGAACCTGGAACTATGCTGTTCACTAAAAAAAGATATTTTTAAAATGTGGAAAACTGAATAAAACTTCATTTAAAAAAAAGAATTATTCTCTGGAATCCGATCAGAAAGTCCCAAAGGTGCTTTTTTCAGGAGGCAACTGGACTTTCTTGTTTTTCTTTTGAAGACGTTTCGCTTCTCAACCAAGAAGCTTCTTCAGCTCTGACAGGATGGTGGGGAATGGAAGGATTTATATTCCTTGCAGACAGCTGGTCATTTGCATCCTTTTAGAGGGTCGTGGAAGCACTTGGTGGTTTATCTGTGTCCTCAGGGCCACCTCAGTGATGAATGGTGTGGGAGTAGGAATGGATTTCTAGAGGAAAAATTGCAGACTACAGGAATCCAGGGACACTACTCCGGTGACCCTGAGGACACAGGTAAACCTCCAAGTGCTTCGACAACCCTCTAAAAGGATGCAAATGATCAGCTGTCTGCAAGGAATGTAAACCCTTCTGTTCCCCACCATCCAGTCAGAGCTGAAGAAGCTTCTTGGATGAGAAGCGAAATGTCTTCAGAGTGAAAACAAGAAAGTCCAGCTGCCTCCTGAAAAAGCACCTTTGGGACAACCATGATCTGGATGACTGAGAATCCCTACAGACTTCCAGCTATACAATTTGGGATGAGCACTCTTTGAATGGGGTGGGAGTAGGAATGGATTTCCAGAGGAAAAGTTGCAGACAACAGGAAGCAGGAGCACTATTGATGTGCTAGGAGATTTTACTTTTCTGGTTTTCAATATTGTGATATTTTGGGGGGCAGTGATCTCTCTCTGGTCACCCTCACCTGCTGCTTTCAATCTGAAGAGAGTTTGAGGAGCCATTTGTGAAGTGCCAAAAAACGCTGTGGGGAGAGAGGTTTGGGAGGTGGGGGGAATGCTAAAATTTGTTCTAGAATTTTCTGGAACAAATCAGAAAAATGCCCTCAGCAATGTGGACAGCAATTCTGTCTGGCTTGAAAAGCTCTGCAAGGCTAAAAACATCAGAGGATGAAAAGCAGCCTCTTTGCATGATTCCTTAAGAACTATGAACATTAGGAAGCCATTAATTTTTTTCTTAAACTTTTTGTTTCCAGAATGATGATGGGAAGGTTTGGTAAGTAAAAGATTTTAACTTGGAAAATAAAAGCATCTTGAGAGCAAGATGCAAAGAACTGACATTGTGGCTTAAATTGTAGCTTGAACTCTTCAAGCTTAATGATATGAGATATTTATCATTATAAAGTATTAAGCATTTTGTGTCTAAGTTGGTGGTCGTTTTGCTCAGTCCAGTCCAGTTTGGGGACAAAGTGTTTTCTATAGCATCCTTCCATTTTCTCTTAATTTCTGGGCTTCTTAATCAGCATGCTGGCCTACTGGTCTAATCCTGACAAACCTAGGATACTGTATTGACCCTATTGGAAGATAAGGGTTCCTGGAGGGGGAGAGAGAGAGAGAGAGAATGTAGTTTTGTGCTTTTTTAAAATTTATTTTTATTTTTAATTATGTGAATACAACAATACCCAACTTATCCTTGTTATACATAAATACATTTTACTTCATCATTTATAGTCTTATTAAAATATTTACTAATTAATCTAATCATCACGACTATTTTGACGTTGTCTTTTATTATATAACCATTTATAAAATTTATGTTTTATAATATTTAGATAATATTTGTCTTTTATTTCTAAAGTTAACCTATCAGATTCTGCACACGCCATAATTTTGTGCTTTTGTGTGTGAGAATGGTTTGTGTGTCCAAGAGAATAGCTGCTATTTGCAGTTGTAGAATGAATTAATTTGATAAATGGGATGTTACGTTTTACAGGCAATTAAATTTAATCAGTAGTTGTTAATTCAAGTAAACACTTATTTTCCTGGAGTCTGCTGTTTTGTGAGCTTGTGCCTTCTGACACATATCTATGTACACATATCTCTATACGCACAATACACATATAGAAGTACAGGCTTACATACAGATAGATGTACACATTTATAAGGAGGAAAAATCCACTGGATTTGGTTGGGAAGCAAGATAGCATAGAAGATTTTTGTCTTGTGTTTATGTTTATTTATTCTTTTAGAAAATAATGTCATTTTAAATTTAAAACCCTTTTCCTTTTACATAAATGTACCATGTCTAGTCATGTTTTCATATTCTGTGAATTCTCACTATTTTAACAAACCTTTCTTTTTCTCTTTTAAACCAGAACGAGATGCTTTTGATACACTCTTTGACCATGCTCCAGATAAACTAAGTGTGGTGAAAAAGGTAAAATTGTGTTTAATGAGCCTCTTCATTGCTTTTGTTTACTGCGGGATGCTTGGCTCCCTTGGTGCACTGAAAAAGCATCATAGCGACCAATTTATGCAACTGAATGAAGAACAGGATAGCTAGACTCCTAGGATGCACTAGAGGTAGTTGTTGTGGTTCGCAGTGCAGACGGCAGCAGAATCGGACAGTGGGGAAGAATGGGGACCAGTCAGGAAGTCTGTAGAGGACTTGGACAAGGGTCCTGTGTCCGATGCAGAGATGAGGACAGGACCATTTGGGAATGGTGTGCTGACTCCGAAGCCTCTGGAGTCTGGCAGCAGCGAGGCAGAGGAACAAGGGGAGCCTATTCCCAGTGCGTGTGCGCGCAGAGCTGCCAGAAGTCAAGAGCAGCTGAAACAAAAGGGGCGACTCGGGAATAAGGTTGGGAGGTGATTGCCACTCCCATAAGGTATAAAAGTCAGGCCAAGGTGATGAAACCTTTGCAGGAAGCAAAGTAGTTCAACTGGTTCAGAGTCTTCCTTGAAGCTCTTTGTACTTCGATTGGGGTTTTTTTTTGTACTTCGGTTGGTTTCCTTTCTAGTTCGTTTGATACTTCTGTTTTTGGCAGCACTTCACAGAACTGAAAGGTGTGTGCTTATCTTGGGGGACTGTTTGAGATTAATTCCGGCTGGGAATGAAAACAATTCCCAGCGTTGCAATAAAATAAGTCTTGTTTTTAAAATAAGAGTGTGAGCAATTACGGTTTAGGAAGCCTAGGTCAGAACAGTAGTCCTTGACTTACAGGAGCTTGTTTAGTGACTGTTCAAAGTTACAACAGCACGGACAAATGTGACTTATGACCGTTTTTCACAGTTACAACATGACGCATCCCCATGATGACGAGATCAAAATTCAGATGCTTGGCAACTGGTTCATACTTATGACCGTTGCTGTGTCCCAAGGTCCTGTGCTCACCATTTGCGACCTTCTGATGAGCGAAGGCAACCAGGAAACCCAGTTCACTTAACAGCTGGGTTCCTAACTTATCAACTGCAGTGATTCACTTCAACAGCTGTGCCAAGAAAGGTTGTAAAATGGGGCAAAGCCCGCTTAACAAATGCCTCACTTAACAGAAATTTTGGGCTCAATTGGGGTCGTAAGTCAAGTACAACCTGTGGATGACTGCCAAGAACTCAGAATCTCGTCCCTTTAGGTTGCTATTTTAAATAGAATAATGTTGTGGCTCAGAGGTTTGGGCCTGCTTTGTCAGAGGTCGAGGACTTGGACAATGAGGAAGAGGAGGATTTGGCTCTGAGGTTTGAGCCTGCTTTGCTAGAGGACGAAGACTTGGACGGTGAGGAAGGGGAGGATTTGGCTCTGAGGTTTGAGCCTGCTTTGTTAGAGGATTTGGAATTGCCTTCCTCCCCAGGACTTTCCTCCTCGGCAGGACCTTCCTCCCTGATTGTGCCTCAGGTGTCGGCAGATAATCAGGAGAGCGTATCAGAGCCTCTGACTGAGGATCAAGCTGAGGAATGCTGGCTTGATGCGAGGCAACGGCGCAGGCAAAAGTGTAAGTTGCAACATAGAAAGAAAGGACGAATCAGAGACTGAGATGAGGGACTGACACGCCCCACAGAGAATAAAAGTGGGTGTGTTCGCTCTGAGAACTTGTTCGGGACAACGTGTTAATTTGTGAGAGAAGCTTCGAAAGATTCTGTGTGTGGTGATAGCTTGTGATTTATGTTCTTGCTTTATTATCGGACTTGGCAGACAGCTTGTGTGAGACTGCCAAGAACTTTCTCGGCTCAAGGAATTTAACCCTGTCATTACTGGACTTGTTTGCTTGTTTATATTCATTTGGAAATTTGAACTTCTCACCTCGTTGGCACAGGTGAGACATAACAGAATAACATTATCCAGGGTTGAGCTCAGCTTTAGGGTAACCTTGTCCTCAGTGCTGTACCTGTTCATGGGAATAAGCATGTGGAATATTATTAAACTTCTTGGGCAGTTGTCTGAAACTTGTTTCAGTTCCCCTAAATTCCAAATATTATAAATTTTGTACAACCCTACAAGGGGTTGTACAAAAGAGGGAGGGGCAGAGTGATGCAAGCAGCATTATGGGGTCGTGAGGTGAACCCTACCCTTTTTCTATATGCATCACTCTGCCTAAGGTAAAACTTCTGCTCCTTGTAATAAAACTGAGATCTGATGTGCAGGTCCTAGCAAATGAATGGAAGGCTTGAATGAATTCTACCCATGTTTCCCTGAAAATAAGACTGGGTCTTATATTAATTTTCACCCCAAAAGACGCAATAAAGCTTATTTTCCATCTAGGTCATATTTTTGGGGAAATACGATACTAAAATGCATCCATCTGGCTGGCAATCTTAACTGGGGCTTATTTTTAGGGTAGGGCTTATATTACGAGAATCCTGGAAAAAAAATCATGCTAGGGCTTATTTTCTGCTTGGGTCTTATTTTCCAGGAAACACTGTAAATAGTTAAGTCTCTGTTATTTTTTTTTTAAATTGAATATTGGTTGGATATTTATTTCTCTAATCACTGTGTTCTTCTCCGTTTTTCAGTCCTTGATCACTTTTGTAAACAAACACTTAAACAAGCTGAATTTGGAGGTGTCGGAATTAGAAAGCCAGGTAAGACATCTAAGAACAATACTGGATATTTATACTCCAGTTATTTGGATCAGTAATAATAACAAGAAGCTATTGACGGCCCATTTGAAACTAGTTTGGTTACCAGATTATTTGGTTGCTTATGTCCCCAAATATGGATGGGAGATTTTCAGAGGAGGTCTTTCCATTTTGGAACTGAACATTACTTTGCTTTTAATCTTTCTGCAAAAAAAAAAAAAGCTGGAAAGGTAAGGACAGACTATAGGATGCAGTTAGGGTTTTTTTGGCAGAAGTGTGGAAGTGGTTTGCCATGGCCTTTTTTCAGAATGCTCTTCCACATCCAATAGCCCTCTGAGCTACCACCTGATCCCCAACAAAACAAAACAAATCCAGCAGGCATTTGTGTTGCTGTTTCACTGTGCATTGTTCCTAATATTCAGTGGAATTTTTTTTACATAAAAAGTTCCAAAGATGAACTGTGTCTCTATGGCGTATGGCAACCAGGTATGAGCCAGCAGTGTCCTGCAGCTGCCAAAAAGGCTAATGCAGTCCTAGGTTGCATCACTTGAGGGATAGTTTCAAGATTGTGATGACCCAGGGTGGGATACAAAACAAACACAGTCACAGAAAACAGGTGAAGCTTTGCTTCCCAGCTCTGAATATTCTTGACAGAAGACAAAAAACTCCCACACAAACAGTTACAAGAAGAAGGAAAAAAGCAACACAAACCAGGCAAGATAAGGGCTGGAGGACGTCCACAGATAACACACATTGGGAAGGATGCCAAACTCAGAGAGAAACCATAAACTATAGAGATATTTCCACACTTTGTTTCCAGCATTCATCAGTACGCAGGTCCATCCTCTTATCCAGTTGTCACAGCTGCAGCCCATGAAGAGAATCAAGGCCCTGTCCTCCCGAATAGACCATGTCTCTCCCTTATCCTCTCCTCACTGCGTGTCCTAGGATGGAGAGGGGATGGGCCTGGGTCCTCCTCTGACTGCTCAGCTGGACTCTGCCCTTCCCCAGCCTCCTCCACAACCTTCCGGAGCCACACTTCCACTCCCTGTCGGCTGTTTCTCCTCTCCCTCAGAGTCAGTCTCCACCAGGAGCATGACAAAGATCACGTGAAGTGATAGTACCACTTTATACCACACTAGTGAGGCTGCCCTTGGAATATTGCATACAGTTCTGGTTGTCACGATATTAAAAAAAAATTGTGGAGACCCTAAAATGCGTCCAGAGAAGAACAACAAAGATAACAAAGTTTATGGAGGGTAAACTGTATGATGAATGATGGAGAGAACTAGTACGTCTAGTCCAGAGGTCTCCAAACTGGCTGGAGAATTCTGAGAGTTGAAGTCCACAAGTCTTAAAGTTGCCAAGTTTGGGGACCCCTGGTCTAGTCTAAAGAAGAGAAGGATTAGGGCTGGTATGATAGCAGTCTTCCAGTATTTGAGAGGCTGTCGCTGAGAAGAAGGGGTCAACATATCCTCCAAAGCAGTGGTTCCCAACCTTTGCTACTTGGTGGCCCAGTGTTCTGACTCACGCCCTTTTCCGACAAATCAAACACAATTCAAAAAGAACAGGAACCTTGTAATGCTTTTACAAAATAATTAGCCGTGATAAGCACGAGCCTTGCCAAACAGAGCGAGCCTTGCCAAAAGATAACAGACAAGAAACAATTTGCAAAATAAGAATCTTCAAATACAAACTCAGGATACTGGAATGTCCACAAAGCTGTAGTTTCAAAACGTCTTTGCCTTCTGCAAAGAAGGTTAGTGTCAGCTCTGAGATTCAGCTGCCAAGAAAGGAATGAAAGGGGGGGTGGAGGAGTTCGAAAGTTCAAGGTTATGCCGTATGTCGCATTAAAAAATTCCAGATGCATTTAATTGGTTCTCGTGATTAATGAAGTGTAGAAGTGGGAAGAGAGAAGGTGGATTTTGTGAAATGCGCTGAAAATGACTTTCACTTTTGGAAATGCCATAGAAGTACCAGAGTTGTTCCTAATAAATCAGTTGGAGATTATACTTGTCTTGGAGTGATTGATTACCATGGAAAATTTCTGGATGCCTAACAATTAGTTTCACAGCTGGCTTTTATCTTCTTGAAGGAGGGGCCATTACCTTTTCAGCCTTATTCCTGAGTCGCTTGTGCTGTTGTAATTGTTCTTTCCTCCGAGCAATCCTGCGTGCATGTGCACTTGGCACAGGCTCCTCGGGAACCTCCTCATCACTGCTGCCAGCCCCCACAATATCTGACGGCAGCAGTCCACTCCCTAATGGTCCTGGCCCCTCATCTGAGTCCTCGCTCTCCACAGCCATCCGCACCTGCTGCCGGCTAACCACAACACCCAGCTGGGGAAGAGAGAGAGGTGAACTGGGCCTCATGAGTGGCGGGCCGACACATGCGCGCTCAGTTCCACTTGTGGGAGCGGCAGCCTGGTGCACATTTGTGTGCACGCTGGCCCACCGCTCGTGCGGCCTGGTTCCACATAGGCCATGGCTTGGTAGTGGGCCGCAGCTCATAGGTTGACATCCCCTGATCCAAAGCACCTGAGGGCTGGATAGGAAGTCACGGATGGAAGATCATTAAGAAAAGACCCCAACCTAGAACTAAGGAGAAATTTCCTGCCTCCAGAAGTTGGTGGTCCATCCTGGAAATTTTCAAGAAAATGGGACAGCCATTTGGTAGAGGGTCTCCTGCTTGAGCAAGGGGTTGGACTACAAGACCTCTAAGGTTCCTTCTAACCTATTACTCTGTGTTCTAAACAAGTACCATTGCACTCTTCTGTCTCTGTCAGCTCAAAGGCAAGTTTGGGAGGCTTTGCAGCTGGATGCCAGTTGAAATCTGAATGGGAATTGATCAATTCTTGGGGTCACCTGGGAACACTTTGGGAATTCTTCTAGACAATCCTCTAAAGCAGTGTTGGCAAACCTTTTCGGCACCGAGTGCCAAAACGGGAACGCACGTGTGCGCATGGGAGCACCCGAAACCATAAGAGCAGCTCCCTGGTGCAAAACTGAGCTTCCGGTTTCAGGGGCGCACATGCGCACCAGCCAATTGATCTTTGCGCACACATGCACGCCAGAAAACGGAAGACCAGGTGTGGCCAGCACGCGCATAACCAGAAGCTCAGGTGGCCATATTGGCTGGAAGATCTTCAGCCCAGTGAGGTTCTGCTGCCTCTTGATTCTCATCTTCATATCTGGCCCTTTTTTCTCAGTTTGCAGATGGCGTCTACTTGGTGCTCCTGATGGGTCTCCTGGAAGATTATTTTGTTCCTCTCCATCACTTCTTCTTAACACCTGAAAGTTTTGATCAGAAGGTGAGCAGTAACCAGATCGGGCGTTTTATTTATTTATGAAAATTTATATGACCGCCCAGCTCTATAGAACTGGTCCGAACCGGTAGAATCCCACCCCTGAGTATGTGTGAGAGCATAGCATCGAAAGAGATCTAAAACTAAATAGTTTTGCCTCAACTAGCAGTAGCATTAGCCTGCAGGGGAAAGTTAAATGGGATTGGTGTGATTTAGCCCCTGGATAAGAGACCACAAACTGATCAGCCTCTTTCTCCAGATGCAAATTCTGATTGCTGCACCTTGAGAAAGAGATGTTGCAAACCGTTCTTTTTTAACAAGTCCAAAATAACCCTGTTACATATTGGAGCGGAGGGATTAATGCATTCGTGTCAGAGATTGGGAAACTATGCATTTCTGTGCCCAAGGCACTGGGAGATCTTTTGTCACTGCAATAGGAACAATGTCATACTGCATTCAGAATGCTCCAGAAAAGGTGAAAATTTGGGATTTCCTTGATGCTGGTGCAATGCCTTGTACGACTAGCAGGAGGCAGCAATAATGAATGAGAACCAAGCAAGAATTGGGAAGTGCAATTAACCTTTTAAAATCACCATTAATTCTAAGAGGGAGAATGCATTTCCTTGTTTTTATCGCCCCAACTTACATCGCTATTGGATGGTTTTAATTGAATTGTTTCCTACTGTGCCAATGTAATCCTTATTAAACTAGTCCATTAAAAAAAGAGAGAGAGAGAGAAAGAGAAGGAGTTGTAGAAAACTACAAGGAAAGTTTTTTTTTGGCCACCCACATGCATTTGTAAATGTCATTCATCATCTTCAGTATCATCCTGAAGATCAGCTGATTTTCTATATTTGGGGAAGGGTTCCCTCCAAATTGTGCATCTGATCTCATTCTGACCTCCAGAGTGATGTAACTGGCCTGCAACAAATGCCTTTTCAATGTGATCCATGTTTGCCTGAAGGGAAGGCAACCTGGAATGTTAGAGCCCCAAAAGAAAAGTAGACAGGGAAAAAAATTAAGGCAATTAACTGCCCGGTCCGAGAGTCTGTCTAGTTATGACACGCGTTTCTTTTAAATGGATACAGCTTCAATTGCATCATTGCGGCTGCCATTTTGACTTTTTTTTTTAACCACACCCTGCAAACGGACAATAGAGAAATGGAATGCATTTAGGTGAGCCTAAGCCAAGTGTTTTTCAACATTGGGAACATTTTCATTTTAAGATATGTGGACTTCAGCTCCTGGAATTGTGTTAAATTTATGTTTGCCAACAAAGAAACAAAGGGAGACTTTTATAGATCTATTTCAAGCTATTTAGCTCTCATCAGCTAGCCATAGCCTTCTTGGATTTGAACCTGTAGACCAGCTTGCCCTGATTAAAAAAAAAAAACTTAACTCCTAGAATTGCTCAGCCCAGAGAAGGTATTAGCACCTCTCTTGATCTTGATTGTATCCCTCTGTTAATACAATTTAGGATTGCATTAGCTTTTTTGGCTGCTGCTGCACATTGCTGGCTCATTGGCTATATTCAGCTGGTTGTCCACTAAGACTACAAGATCCCTCTCACAGTTACTGCTACTGAGCCTGGTTTCACCCAGTCTATATGAGTACTTTTGGTTTTTCTTGCCTAAGTGTGGGACTTTATTTTTCTCTACATTGAATTTCATTTTGTTAGATATGGCCCAGTGTTCTAGTCTGTCAAGATCCATCTGGATCTTGAGCCTATCTTCTTGGGTGTTAGCTATTCCTGCCAGCTTAGTATCATCTGCAAATTTGGTAAGTTCCCCTTCTATTCCCTCATCTAAGTCATTAATGAAGATATTGAAGAGTACTTGGCCTAAGACAGAACCTTGTGGCATTCCACTGCTTACTTCCCTCCATGTAGACTTAGATCCATTAAGGACTACTCATTGAGTACGGTTTGCCAGCCAGTTGTGGGTCCATCTATTGGTGGTGAAGAACATAAGGTTTAGCCTCTCCTTGCCATTGGATGGATTCAGTTCATGAAAGTTGTTGCCTTTTCATAAAATTGGTTACTCAGAAAAGGTGTTATCATCCATTACTAGAATCTAATCACACCTTTATGTTGTCTGATTCCTTCTCCAGGTTCACAATATCTCCTTTTCTTTTGAGCTGATGCAAGATGCGGGACTCAAGAAACCAAAAGCGCGACCGGAAGGTACTACCTGAAGACCTGGAACTAATGTTCTCAGAAAATAAATTTAGGAGGCTCCGTGTCTGGCTAGAGGAGATGGCCAATTGCTTCTTGCAAATGATAACAGTATCAAACTCTTCCTGCCTGCCCTAATGCCACTAGGAATTATAAACCCTAAGCCCCCTATGGCTCGCATGCCGGAAGTGACACGCAGAGCCATTTCTGCTGGCATGAGAGCCTTTGCCTGGAATAGATCCACTGCACATGTGCACACGCCTCCCGCTCGCCAGCTGATTGTTGGGTATCTGCTGCGCATGCGCGGGGGGGGTATTGCATGCGCAGAGGTATGCAGCACATGGGGTCACATGCATGTGCAGTGGGGGCAGGGGGTGTTATGCGCACATTGCATTATGGGTGCAGGCACACACTTTCGGCACACGATGAAAAGATTAGCCATTACTGCCCTAAGCATTACATGTAAACTAAAACTGTGCTATAGGACAGTTCTCAGACAACACTAACCATATAACCTCACCATAAATGAAGCTAAATAAAACCCTAAAATATCAAGGTTGTTTACCGTTAAAGTGTACCTCATTCCAATAGGAATATTTAGCTCCAAATGTTGAATGCTATCTGTACTCCAAGATTAGATTAGCACTAAAGATAAAACTTTCAATTTAAGGCTGCCCCCAGATTATTTCTTCCCAGAGAACCCTAATCCTAAATTCACTCTAATGCCAATGATAATTTTTACCCTTAACAAATATCCTCGATCCTAGGATAATTCTGAAACTATCACTGGAATTAACTTTGGATCTCGAGATAGACCAAAATTCACCTTGATGCCAACAGGAAGTTTAATCCATAAACATATAAACCAAAACTAGCACCTAAAGATAAAGACTTTTCCCCTTGCAATTCAAAATCATGTTTTGGTAAAGAAAAGTCGCTACATGTTTTCCTTTTGGTTTATCCCTCAGATGTTGTCAACCTGGATCTGAAGTCTACCCTGCGGGTTTTATACAACTTGTTCACGAAGTACAAGAATGCAGAGTGACCGGAAGTTCTCCAGAAACCGCAAGGGATGTCCCAGGAAACGGCTTTCGATTTCCCTTCTTATGTTTTGTTGTCTTTCCAGTCAGTTTCCTAACTTGGTGGCCCTTCAGTTGGGTCGGTAGGCAGCTCCCATTATCTGAAGTGAGTGAAAGCGGTTCAAGAATGAATGCTGTTGTCCAACAATCTAGAACAGGGGTGTCAACCTCTCAAGGCCCGGGGGTGGCATCTGGCCTGCTGGGTGCTCAGATCTGGCCCATGGGGCTACCCTGGAAACAGTGAAGGACTGACCTGAAGTGCCTCTGCCAGTGAAAACAGCTCGTTTTCCCTAGCAGAGTGTTGCAGGAGGCCATCACAGCCTAAAATGGAACTTGGGAGGGCTGCAGGCAGCCCTCCCAAGCTCCATTTTCACTGGCAGAGTGTTTGTTGCAGGAGGCCGTCACAGCCAAAAACAGAGCTTGGGAGCCCATTTTCACTGGGAGAGCTTTCGGACCATCACAGACACCTCCGACATGAGTGATGTCAAGCTGGCCGCCCCCCCCCCCCCCCGGCCCTCTGAGGTCAAACACAACCCTGATGCAGCCCTCAATGAAATTGAGTTTGACACCCATGATCTAGAAGCTAACCAGGTTGGGAATGGCTGGTTTCTGCTTGCTTTTTGTGTTGTAAAACCCTCTGTGCTTTGAGCCCCACAGCCTGCCTTTGGAAATGAAATTTTGCTCCCTGGAAAATATCCATGTTCTGTTTTCGTTTTCTGCAGAACTGTTGCCTACAGTCCTCCCCTGTTGAGCAACAGTGCCTTATCCCAACAGTGGTGTGTGTGTCACAAACTGGCGAGGCATTGTTGAGAAGAAAGTGCCCTGTCTGGAACTTGGCATAGGTTTAGTCTGAGCTCCAAATCTCACTTCTGCAGTGAGAGTCTGAACAGGCTTGAGTCCAGCAGTGGGATCCTACCTGGTCCACTACTGGTTCAGTGATCGCTCGTGCACCTAACGCATGCGCACAGCTTTCCACGCACCTGCTGAGGCCTGCAATGCCAATCAGCTGAAAGGAGAGAGAAGAGAAAAGAGCAGGGGTGGATGGGAAGGCCCAATCCTGCGCTTTTCTCCTCTCAGCAGATCTTGGAGGCTTATTTTTTTTACTACCGGTTCAGGAGAACCGGTCCAAACCAGTAGCATACCACCACTGCTTGAGTCCCATTCTCTTGGTAGTATAATGGAAACAACTCTGACCTTCCTAGCATTGACTTTCCTAGTCATTGTAGGGTTTGTGAAGGGCGAAAGCTTATAGGAATGCTAACTGTGATGTGGCAGCTGGTTTTTAAAAATGTGTTCTGGATGAGAAAGACAGTGATCCATTTGGGATCGCTGATTCTGTCTCCTTTTCACCCTGATTCAGACACATCTGGGCTTCCTTTTCATTTTGGGTGGTGGGGTGGGGGTGGTGATCCAAGTCTATTTTCTAAACCTTTGACTGCATTGCTTTCCCTTTTGATATCACCTATCCCGTGACTTCACTCCATATATATTGTACATCTCGGATGGCAGAGTTGCCTGTTTGGAATAAAATAATTCATCTTTTCTGATGAAAATTCCGGGTGTGTAGAGTTGTTTGGTTCCCACAAACTCCGGTTTGCAAATGGGGATTCATCCTTAAGACTGAGATTGATGGCCTGCGAAGGAACGGTCATTTTTAATCTTACGATATGCACTCTTGATAGCCTCAGGAAACAGAGTGGACTCGTAACTCTTTGCAATCTGCAGTTCAAACTTTCTCCTCTTAAAAATAACACTTGGACTTATATACCACTTCATAGTGCTTTACCAGTCCTGTCTAAGCGGTTTACAGAGTCAGCCTATTTCCCCCAACAATAGGGGTCTTCATTTTACTGACCTCGGAAGGAAGGAAGGCTGAGTCAAACTTCAGCCGCTCAGAATAGAACTGGATGAAACATGCACCACAAACTTTCCATAAAGATGCTTCCCGAAGTAAGTCAATAGCAACAGTCTTGCAAGGTAGGCTGGGCTGAGAGAAAGTGACTGTGCCAAAACCATTTTGTGTGAGATTTGAACATGGCTTTCCCCACTCTAAAGTCACTCCGTCATACTCCTCCCCTTCAAATAATCCAGAAATGACAAACATTGTTTTGACAATATTTATATGCTCTTGAGGTAATCTGTCTGGGTAGGTTGGACATGCTACCATCAACATATGATCAGTACCCAAAGGAAATTGGATCTTTTCATATTCTGGTTTTCTTTTTTTCCTTGCTCCCTGTTCCACAGAAACCAACTTGATCAAAATTTTTCAAACTTAATGGGTGTGCACGTTAACTTCCAGAATTCCTCAGCCAGCAGAACTGGCTGGGGAATTCTAAGAGCTGGAATCCATATATTTTAAAGTTTCTAAGTTTGACGTAGAGCAAGTGCTGGGAATTATTCTGATTCAGATCCTGTTGGGGGCCAATCCTTAGATGAGTATGAAATTCTATAAAGCCCATTTCTGAGAGTGGTATACCATAGGGAAGTGCAGTTTTCTACTTAATTTTTATTTTTTTAAGTGTTTCTTTTATGAAAGGCTTTAAAGAAAGAATATACATAGAAAATGCGTAAAATGAATAAAATGTAGAATGCAAATAATGGACCATAGGTAAGCAAATAGAATAGAAAAATTACTATTTTCCAATAACCGATACAATGATCATAAACCTATTTCTTCGAAGAAAAAGAATATCGTTGTTAAACTATACAAATGCCTGCTTATTGTGGCATAAATCATTAACTTACACGGTAAAATATAATGAAATGAATCAACACTAGCAATTTAATTTCCCAGAAAGTTGAGTTATAGACTGTGTAAAAAAATCTAATTTGGGGAACAGTACAGAACCACACGTTCAATTATACTCAAGGAATTGTTTCCAATTAGGATTTAATGTTATGTTGAATTTATTTTTTAATTGTATTTGATGCTTTAAGACGGAGTTTATCAACCTTGGCAACTAAGACATGTGAACCTGAACTCCTAGAATTCCCAAACCAGCATGCCTCTTAAAGTTGCCAAGTTTGAGAAACACTAATTTAAGGAGTTGGAGACCATTTGTCTCTCCCAAAACATCCATTTTCTTCTTATCAAATGTTGGCTTTGGTTCCCAAGTTACTGACACGATCAGAATATCTATGGAGATTCTCAGCCATCCAGGTCCTGGTTATCCCAACGGTGCTTTTTTCAAGAGGCAACTGGACTTTCTTGGTTTTTCTTTGAAGACGTTTCGCTTCTCATCCAAGAAGCTTCTTCAGCTCTGACAGGATGGTGGGGATTGGAAGGACAGGCAGCTGGTCATTTGGATTCTTTTAGGGAGTCGTTAAGGTCACCTGGAGGTTTATCTGTGTCATCAGGGTCACCTGAGTTGTGCAAATGAGTGTGGAGATGTCGCATTCCTCCCCCTCTTTGACCTCTCTTTCAAACTAGCTGTTTGAATGAGGGGTCAAAGAGGCCATCTATGTCAAAATTGAACAGACCTCTCTCAACAGAGAGGGAGGGATACATCATCACCCATTTCTAATCTACATCACAGTCCTTTCAACAGTTCCAAGAAGGCTTCACACCTTCACACCTTCACACATTTGCACCACTCAAGTGACCCTGAGGACAGGATAAACCTCCAGGTGACCTTAACGACTCGCTAAAAGAATGCAAATGACCAGCTGTCTGCAAGGAGTATAAATCCTTCCATTCCCCGCCATCCAGTGAAGGTTGAAGAAGCTGTTTGGATGAGAAACGAAACGTCTTCAAAGAAAAACACAAAAGTCCAGTTGCCTCTTGAAAAAAAAGAACAAAAGCACCTTTGGGACCCTCTGCTTCCCACTCCATTAATCTTCTTGTCCTGCCCTGAGGTGCTTTTCTGAATAGGTTGATGCCCCAACTCTTTTGGCAGCCCCTCACGTACCAGAAGACAACTATCATCTCACCCTTAATTCTTTTATTGGTTAGGCTGGACATACCTAGTTCTCTTAATCTGTGATGACCCAGGGCTTGGCACAAAGGCAACACAGTCACATAAGTAAGAAAAGTCCCTTTAATACCTCCAACTTTGCCCCCTACGTCCAGTTACCTTTGGCTGGAGAAAACACTCCCAAGAACAGTCTTTAAATGAAGGAAATTCAGTCCGAAAACGAAGTACATATAAACTGTAAATAAAAATCCACACAAACCACACTGCAGCAATTAACTGGACAGGGCAGGATAAAGAATGAAAGGCCAACAAAACACACACCGTTGGGAAGACGCCAGGAACCCAGATAAGCCTCAACCATAACAGATAACTCACGATTTGCTTCCCATGAGTTGCTGTGCGCAAACTCCCTTTTTAAACACTGTTCCCAGCTGCAGCTAATGAAGGGAATCAGGGCCCTTTCCTCCCCTGTAAGCCACGCAACTCATGTTGCTCCCTTCTAGGTTCCTCCCTCCGTGCCCTAGGATGAAGAGGCCTGGATCTTCCCCTGAATTCCCTCTGCTTTGTTCTACCTCCCCCTGCTCTGCCCAGCCGGACTTTGCCCTTCCCCAGTTTCTTCCACAGCCACTGGAGCCACACTCCCACTCCCTGTCAGCTGCTTGGCCTCCCCCTCAGAATCAGATTCTGACAGGGGCGTGACATAACCTGTATTGCACATGTGTTCGTTACCATGCCAGTTTTCCTGTTTCCACTCAGCTTAAGACTGTTCCATTTGCTCTGACTTTCTTGACAGACATGCCCATATCTTGCAGGTGGATTTCCTCAAATGGAAAGAAAAAATGATAACATTTTTTTTCCACATCTCCCTCACTGATGCCTCCGAAGCAGAAGCTCGACCCTCAGCTAATGAAAAACAAATAAAAGTTGTTTTTCCTTCTATCTTTCCTGGATTCAGGCAATGATGGGGTTTTGATCCTCATGCGATGAAGAAGGAGATCTGAATTTAAAGAACAAAAATCTTTTAAATCCACCCAGGCCTTTAGAGGGAAATAATCTATCTTTGATGGCAAGGAGGTTTATCTCACATTTTTAGTAAATCTCAACCATCAATTCTAGTTGGAACAGATCTTGGTTTTTTCCCCCCTCTCTTTTCCCTTTACATAAAACTGATTTTCTTTTTGCCTTCCTTTGCTTTTAATTTATTTAAATTAATTTATTTACGTTTTTTGAGGACACCGATAATGAGGCTAGCTGATATCTTGTTGCTGTCCTTTTAAAAAATGTTATATTACATGGCAATTGATTTGCTTATATCTAATAAAAGATAAGTTGCAATTTGAATAAA